TCTACTACTTTTTCTAAAGGGTGCGTTTGCTTTCTCAGAAAATATCCTTTCTCATAATTTTATAAAGGTATTTTGATACTTATATATTTTAAAATTATAATAAATAAAAAAAAATATGAATTTTTTATTTTTTATTTTTCCTCATACAATTCTTAACCCATAAACTTGTCCTCTTATATAGAATCTATTTACAAATTTTCTCTATGTTTTCTCTATGTCAATTTTTAAAAAAAAACAATAAAATTAATAACTTAACAAAACTTTACGAAAACTTCATTACAAAATTTAAAAGCTTTTCATATAATATTTTCTAATTTTTCATATGGTATTTTTTAATTACTTTCCCAATGAATATCCACCTTTACCCAAACACACCGACAAAATAAATTAATGCTTTTTTATTTTCTCTTGGCCATAAGGTAAATTAATGGCTAATGGGATGTGCTTCCATGAAATTTTCTTTCGTGGGAATTTCTTCCCGAGAGATATTTACTTATACTCTTTATTTTGGGGATAAGTGTATTTAATATATCAGTTTGACCATTTAGATTTCATCTTTTATCTTGTAATATGGTGATAATATGTACTAAACTTTTAAAAAATAGTAATCTTGATTAATAAAGAAAAAAAAATATCATATCCTTAATTAAAAATTTTTTGAAAGGTTATATTTTTATTTGTACCATACTCTTTTATCACATAAATACTTTTTAAGCTCAATTTTAGTACATCTATTTTTTTCTAATAAAATAGTGATGTAATAATTAATTAATAAAATTCCATATTTATTTCTAATTAATCATTATTTAAATAAGCTTTCTTAATATATATTGTAATTATCTTTTTAAAATAAAAATAAAATATGAATAATCACATTAAATGATATCTTAGAAAAGATGAGTAAACACATAAGGGTATGTTTGATTTAAGGGGAAGGGAGAATATTTTTCAATTTGGTTATTGAAAAAATTAGAGGGGAGGAAAGGGAAAGGAAATGGAAGGCATGCTCAAATTTTGTGACATATTATCATAAAAGGATAAATTCATTTACATACAAGTTTTACACATTATACTTATACAAAATATCAATTGTTTATCTTTCAACTTTTAATAGTTAATATTTATTCACATTTATTAAAAATAACTATCTTTTTACTTAAAAAATATGATAAATCTCAACCACTGAAAGTGAAAAACAAATAATTGAGATTTAATAGTGAAGAAATGAATTGTTGAAATTTTGTATAAGTTTAATTTATAAGACTTATATGTAAGTGAATTTTTACTTTTATCATGATTTCTTTATTTGGTATCCTTCAATTTTCCTCCTTTCTCCTTCATCTCCCTCAAACCAAACACACATTAAACTTAAACACCCCAAATTAGGCTCTATTTAGTAGGTTGTGGGGGTTATGGGTTTTTACTTTTAGTTTCTATAAGTTTTGCAACTACCAAAAGTCAAAATAAAAAATAAAAAATTAAGAATATGTTTAAGAAGAAATTAACATTGGCAACAAAAAATATAAACTTATCTCATAGTATTAAAACTATCATTTTCTTCTTTCTCTACTAATTATAACAATATATTACAAAAACATGTGTAAAAATAAATGAGTTTTTTACTTAAAATTACAAAATTTATAAAAACTAAAACTACAATCATATAAAAATGTAGTCTTAAAAATTAAGTTTATTAAAATGGAAAGGATGAAATACATTTTTTATACCAATTTTATTAGGTAAAAATTAAAGATAGGCAATCAATGTTGCATCGAAAATTAAAAATGATAATTAAAATGAAAAAAAAAAATTCTCATAAAACAGACTAATAATAATAGACGGAAGCCATATGTGTTGTCTTGATTTCTGTGTGAAAAAATTTAATTTCTTAAACTAAGCAATACCGAAACTTTTTTTTTTTTTTTTTTGTCGTGGCTCCTCTAAATTCTTTTTTAAAAAATAGTAAGTCCCAAACACAGTAAAAAAAGTAGAAGCGAAGTGCGTATAAATTTTCTTCTTTTTTTTTCTTGTATATTATAGGGCTAACTACTTATTAATACAAATATTTACATTTTTTATTTTAATTTTAAATTAAAAATTTTAAATTAATAAATATCAATTCAATTAAATTTTTGTTGATGAGAAATGTTTATAATTGAATATGAAAGAAATATATGAGAAGAAAAAAGCGCCAAACTAAGTCCTTGCCATTTGCCAAGAAATTCGAAATATTACGGAAACACCAATTAAACATCCCATTCGTTTTGCTTGGAAATTGAAAGGAGTAAAGAGGAACGGGGAATTGGTTTAATTGATTAGCTGAAGCATGTCCTCAGGAAGTGTAACATGCATGGCTGCTGATGCCATTTGCTAAGAAGGGTGCCCACTCCTCTTATGATTTTATTATTTTGCAGAATTATTCTCATGATGTGCATCTTTTATGCATGCTTAGCTGATCTTGTAGGAGTTTGTTACCTCAAACACTATGTTTGGTGTCTCAAAAATTCTTGTGGGAGATTTTAGCATGTGTTTTTCTAATGAACTAATGGTTTTTTTTCTTCAGAAATTTTCAATTAAAAATTAATTCATGCTTTATTTGTTTGAACTTTAAGAGAACTTAGGGAAATAGTTTATTTTGCCAGGCATAATATTAGAATTGTAGCTAAGAGGTTTGAAATGAAATATAAGATGGTAACCCACGTCTGAATGAAAATTGAATCAGATCAGAGAGAGTGATTTGGACTTTTCATTGGGGAGTAATAATTCACTCGGAAGGTAGAAGTTTCTTTGATATTTCCTTTCTCTTTTCTCGTTTCTTTGTCTCCTCTTATACAGCTATATGAAGAAAACGAATGAGATGTTTCCGCGATATCTCTCCTTTTAGGTGAAGTTTAATTTTCTTAACAATGTCCCTGTTGCTTTGGCTTTCCTTCTACTACTTTTTCTAAATGGTGTGTTCGAAAAACCTTCCTGGAAAATATCCCTTTCCAAGACTTTGTAAATGTGTTCTTGGTATTTATACATTTTTAAATGATAATAAATAGAGGATAAAAGTAATAATTTTAGTTTTTATTTTTTTTGACACAATTACTAATTTATAATTATTTTTTCTTATACTTTTTCACAACTTTTCTTAGGCGTCTTTAATAATTTTCTCAACTACTTTTTCTTATATGAAATTTTTATTAAACATAACAAAATTAACACCTTAATAAAATTTTATGAAAACTTCATTATAAAATTTAATGACTTTTCATATGATACTTTCTGATTTTTTATATAGTATTTTTGCAATCACTTTCCTAGAAAAAATTGCCCTTTAATCAAACCATAATGACTTTTTTTTTTGGGCCATAACGTAAATTAATGGTTAATGGGATGTGTTTCCATGATATTTCCTTTGGTTGAAATTTCTTGGCAAGAGATATTTCCTTTTACTCTTTATTTTAGGGAGGAATACATTTAAAATATCAGTTTGACCATTTAAATTTCATCTTTTATCATCATAATCTGGTAAGAATAAGGACATCATTTAAAAAAAATTTAATTAATAATATGATTTTTTCCTTACTAATTGAGATTATCACATTTTAAAATTTTTAAAAAATAATAATCTTGATTAGTACAATCGTAAGTCATATTCATAATTAAAATATTTTGAAATGTAGTAGCTTTAATTAATAAAGAAAAAATGTTAAATTTTTAATTTAAAAAATTTTGAAAAGTTATTTTTTTATTTTTATCAAATCTTTTTTATGACATAAATACTTTTTTAAATTCAAATTTTAGTAGGTCTAGTTTTTTTAATAAAATAATAATTAATTAATAAATTTTATATTTATCTCTAATTAATTATTATTTAAATAAATTTTTTAATATATATTATAATTATCTTTTTAAAATATAAATAAAATATAAATAATCACATTAAATAATATCTTAATAATAAAAAATAAATAACTAAAAATGTGTTTAATTTGAGAAGATAAAAAAATATTCCTCTATTAAGTTATTAAAATTGAAAAGGAAAAAAAGAAAAGAAAATGAAAGATATGTTCGAAATTTTATAACATATTTTCATAATTCCTATATTTGGTATTCTTAAATTTCTCTCCATTTCCCTCTCTTTCTCTCTTTTTCCCCCGCACCATGCACACCCTAAATTTTTCCTCAGCGACTATAATTGAAGTGGGACAATGTGTCTTTAGTCAACTATTCACACTAGAGGAAGAACTACTAGATGGTCCAAATGAGAAAATAAAAAAGTGATAAAGCCAGAGGTTGTCTTGTCACTGTCACTGGGCATCCAAAGGTGCATAACATTGAAATGCAGACAGTCTTTATTTTTTTTTTTCTTTGCCCTCGGGCACACGTTTGTTGACTAAAATTGCTGAAAAATAAAAAGCAAAACCAAGTCCTTGCCATTTGCCGAGAAATTCGAAAT